TATTATTTAAATAATGTGATTATTTAAATTTGAATTTGAACACATCTAGATTTATCCATTTAAACTTATTTGATAAGTTGTTCAATTTAAAATTTAAATTAATTTAAGTTTGACTTAAATTCGAATTAGAATTTGAGTCAAAATTGGACTGGAGGATAAATGATGATTTTCTCTTCCTTCCCTATCTGATATTGGCGCCTATACAGGGATAAAATCCCCTCTCTTGGCCGGCCACATTAAGGATAAGGAAACGGAGATTTTGTTCCGAATTCAAATTAGGAGATAATTAACAAGATTTATCTTAGAGATAGAGATTGGATTCATTCTAGAAGTTTGACTTCTACTCTATAAATAAGAGAATGATAGAAAATTGTGCGAGACAATTTTTGAAAACAATTTTTGCCCTAATTTTAAAGGGGTGGCCGAAATTCTCTTAGAGAGGGAAGGAAAAATTTTTCTCCAAAAGTTCCACATCATGCATGCGTTGGTATTTGTGGAAATTTGAGTGTTTATTCTAACCCGTTTTGTCTCATGTGTGCCCACACACACGTCTTCGTGGAGTCTAGGAATTGACGTGGAAGACATTGGTTTTCTAAACACAAAGCTTTGGAGCAAGGATTGTTCGAGGTCAAAGAACTCAAGTTATTATCCTAATCGGCCACCAGGTATTATTCGTGATTGAGTTCTTAATAAATAAATTAATGTGATTAATTTATTCATGCATAAATTAATATAATCTATAGAGTATCTCAAAGGTTTTATGAAAATTTTTGTTATACACGATCCACCTACCGCCACGCTTCCGCATCCGAATTTGATTCGGAGACCAACAATTGGTATCAGAGCGGTCTATAGACTATATTAATTTATGCTCCGATTATTTGATAATCAAAATTAATATATTAAATATGTGATATTTAATTATGTATGTATGTGATGGGTAGGCACTTGCATTTATGGATGTTTATATTTAATTCATGTTGATGAATGTATGGATGATGGATTTGGTCGTTAATTATATGGTTTCATGGATCGCATTAAATTCGTTCAAATTAAATTATTTGTAATTTAATTCGGGATTAGAATTATTGTAATTCTAGGATTTGGGTAGAATTAGGGTTTTGATTTTGAATCAAAAGGAGGCCTAGAAGATCAAGTTTCAAGCCTTTGAAGCTGCCTAGAAACCGTGCCTAGAAACTAGGTCAACGCGTGCCCAGTGCGCGGCCAGCCAGCGCCCAGAGTGTGCCTAGCGCGCGGACAGTCCGCGTGCACGCGCGCCCACACACGCCCAGATAATGCGCGGTCAGACTGCGCGTGCGCCTAGACGCACAACCTTCCCCCGCGCGCGCACCCAGGCGTACGGCTAGCGCCCCAGACGCAGTCAATGGGCCCCAAACAGGTCCGAGGATTTTTGAAACCCTCGTAATGCGTGCCGAAGAACCCGGAATAGTTTCGAACCCCGAAGAAGGTGAAATCCGACCCAAAGACGAAGAATGAAGCCAAAGAATGAAGAGTTCAAGAATCGAAGACCCGTTGATGTAACGGAGGAAAATAATTATTGTAATTATATGTTTATTCGATTTGGTTGTAATTTATTTTCCATGGGACCCGGTTAAATCCATCTCAATAGCCGATTGCATATATTTATATTTTATGTTGATAATTATATATTATATGTCCATGCATATACTATGTCATATAGATATAGTGTGCCTACTCATATATATATATATATATATATTTTAACATATCATGCATACACGCGCATTTATTATTATTTATTATAAAAGAGTTTTAGAAAAATAAAATAAAATAAGAACCATGCGCTGAAATTGATTTAATATGATTAAATTGATTTAAGTTGCAAAATTTATTTGCAAAATAGTGTTACATGTGAAATTGAATTTAAGAGTTTAATTTTAAAATTTCACATATCCGAAAAAAAAATTGTTTATTTATCGGGTTTTGAAAACCATGAGATGATTTTCAAATAAAGTACATATTTGTAAAATAATGAGTGGGAGAGGGTTGTATGACAATACGACCCATTGGTCTCCACCGTTAGCACAACACCGTGAGATCCGGAGAGGGACTTTTCGGTGACATTGAATCGCCCTCCTAAAGGAGAGTGTTCTTGCCGGATCAATAACAAGGTTGGCTTCCTAGAGATAAGATTTCCGGATGTATTTTCGAATTGACTACCCAAAGGTAGCAATCCGGAGTTAAGTCTATGGGATCTGAAACGGTGGTTTACACTCATAAAGATATAATCAAAGTTTGTTGGTTATATTTTGACTAAAATAACGGTAGTTAATAAATATGAAAATATGAGATATTTTGACTATATTTATTAACTGAGATGAGTCTCGGTTCAATTTATAAATAATTTGACTACCCAAAGGTACACTTTATTTGTGGTAAATAGATTTATCGTTGGCACCTAAAATTAAAACATGATTTATGTATTTTTCATGTGCATCATGCATCATATTTAATTGTGCCTAAAAATTACATGTTTTGATATTCATGCACATAAATTGATTAGATGAATATTCTACTTATTTCCAACAATATGTCAAATCCTATAATCTCACTATACAAAACTGAAACACTAACTAGAGATAAACTATGCGAAGTGGTAAAGTAACATAAACAACTTACATTCATGTGATGAATATAAGTTTGTCCTAAATGGAGGATTGTCCTCCTGTCCTTAACGAAAACACAGTAGCTAACTGTTAGCTATGGTTGTGTGTGG